GAGAGAGAGAGAGAGAGAGAGAGAGAGAGAGAGAGAGAGAGAGAGAGAGAGAGAGAGAGAGAGAGACCAAAGGGTTCCCTTTTCGTCAATTTTGGGTCCCCTGCAGGTAACTGCAAGGAACATGAATATGGACGGAGCACAGAAATCCAGAATGCAATATCACACTGAAGTCCAAGTATTCAAAGCCAAAGCAGATAGTACAATGGAACCGAGTAACCATCCAATTGAGAATGATACAGAAGAATCGTGAGTCAATGTCCATGCCCAACAGGGCAACACCAACAGCATAACCCAAATGTAGCTCTCTCTTGTGAATGGCGCCAGGCGCCCTATCTACTCTACAGCCTATCCTACTACTACAGCAATGAAAGCAACCAGACAACTTGACTACCAGCGAGTGATGATGTCAACACCAATGCCGACCTCCACCATCACCAGGTACGTGTCCTCTTCCCCACACTCTCCCTTGTTACCCACACAGCGCCCTTCACCTCCGAAGACCACCTTCGCCCGACACCCTCTCTGCACCCTCATGCGGCCCGGCTATGGCCGCCAGTGCCTTGCATGCAGGCAGCGCCCTACCGCCTAGCGCTTGCCTGCTTCACCTCGGCGCAGCGCTGCTCATGCATAGTGCAGCACACATGCATCCGCGCAGCGTGCCCGCAATGCCAGCATTGGCCAAGATCCCAGCCCACTCGCCTTGCTTGCCTATATGCCAGTGCTGCGTGTGGGCGGCCTCCCTTCAGCCTGCGACCGGGCCCCAGTGGCTGAACCCAGGCCCATTACAGTTGGGGCCCGGGAGATGCAGTTGTGCCTCTCTCGTCAAGGCCTGCGGCCAGATTCAGACAGTGGGCCGGTTTCCCTTCGCATTTTCGGCCTCTATACCCAGCGTGCATTCTTGGCCTCACGTTCAAGAGCCCAGGGCCTAACTAACTCAGAGGCCCTGGGCATTTCAGCATTTGCTGAGATCCGAAACTCGGTGCACTCCAACCAGCTGGCGTGCTGCAACTGTAAGGACCCCACTTCGTGAAATGTATGCACAGAGGGCTATTGTTGATTTGCTGGCCCGCCTTCACTTAGGGCGGGCACGAGGCTTTCTTGGGCCTTGGCCCAGAACATGTACATCATGGCAAGGCCCCTTCTTGAGGGCTCATTCCTCACATTCCATCCCCCTTAGCTTCGAAAGTCCGCTGAGATGCTTACTTCGCAGGTGCCTTCCCTTTTAGCTTCCTTTCATAATCTGCCACCACCTGAGGAGCTGTTTCCATCAGTTCCTCCCGGGTAAACCACCGATCTTCTTTTGGATCCGTATGATGTCTGAATCTGATCCGGACCTGTGTGTACGTCCGTACGTATACGGACCGTACGTACGGGACCCCTACTGTGCGTACGGCCCGTACGTACGGGATTCCGGCCGTCCGTACGGGGTCTTCGAGGGGGGGGTCGGGCGTGATTTTCGGGTGGTTGGGTGTCGGGTGGCCATGGGAGTCGGGCTGAACAAAAAAAAA